GCACTCTGGATAGAGAGCCCCTGAAAGGAGTAACCGGGAGAAGGCCCACGGGGTCCCGCTTCTGCCTTGGAGCGCTCTACCTGGATGGAACTGCTAGGTCCCAGGCACCAGAGCGGGGATTAGAAAAAACTTAGGGAAGGAGCACCAAAGCCGAGGGTTCGGGCAGCGCGGGGTTGGCCGGGTCCGGGGCAAAAAGACAGTACTCTACACTGAGGCTTCGCGGGGGTGGGAGGTCAGGACAGGCTCCCCTAGAGCTAGAAGTGGGTCTGGACAGGTCCTGAGGGCTGCTCCCCTTCCTCCAAAGCCCAATCTGGCCACTACTCTGTCTCTGGCCCCAACCTCACCCAAGTTTGACAGGCGGGTGTGAGGGGGTGGAGGGGGCACTCGGCTAGGACATCTCAGCCTCCTGAGGCTCCCACCCACAGCAGCTAAATCAGGTCAGGTTCTTCGTGGCTTAAATCCCTGGGGGCTCACCTGTGAGGCACTTCATGACAGAGTTCTTCCCCACCCACACCTTTCCCACCTCATCACCCTGGGCTCTTCCCCTGGCTCATATGCCTCCAGCCACACTGGCATTTTAGCAGTCCCTCCAATGCACCAGCCCCATCCAGCCTCAGGGCCTTGGCACTGGTTCACCAAGTTGGCATCTTTGTCATACAGATTGCTTTTCAGTGTCACCTGTTTCGAAAAGCCTTCGCTGACCATTCTGATGCAAGTAAACCCCATTCTCTACACACACTCTATCCCTCACCCTGTTTTATCATCTTATTTATCTTCAAGGCATTCAACATTGTTTGAGATTATCTTGTTTTGTTTGTTATGTGTTCACTGTCTGGGTCTCCTCCCCCAGCAAAGGTAAACAACACTCCCCCAGCAAAGGTAAACAACACTCCCCCAGATGTTCACAGCTCAGGGCCTAGAACAGCACCTGGTCCCTAGTCAGTGCTCCTTGCAAGGACAAAGCACAGGCCAGAGGCGCACACTGGACGCATTGCCTTCCTTTGCGGAGGCGATCGGTAGTGGGGGAATCAAGGGGGGCTAGCGAGCGGGGATGGGAAAGGGCCTGCGCTCTGGAATCCCGGGATCTGGGGCAGCCCTGCCCGTAGAGCCCCAGCTGCTGGCGCCAGAGGACAATGAGGCGGGGGTGGGGGACGCGGCGGGGAGGGTGGGACTGGCGAGCATCAGGCCTGGGCACTGGGTGGCTCAGTCGGCTAAGCATCTGACTCTTGATTTTGGCTCAGGTCATGATCTCCTGGGTCATGAGATCGAGCCCGGGGCAGGGGGGTCAGGCTCTGCACTCAGTAGGGCATCTGCTTGAGATTCTTTCCCTCTGCTGCCCCTCCCCACCACTTGCGCTTACTTGAGCTCTCTCTCTCTCTCTCTCTCTCTCTCGCAAATAAATAAATAAATCTTGAGGGGAAAAAAAGTATCTGTGTAATATATTCAAGGTTAGAGAGGACGAAGCAGGGCTGAGGGAAGCTGACTCTTCCCCAATAACACAAGGTTCTGTGGGAGAGGAGATGGCAGGGCCATGAACTGGGAGACCTGCCCCCCCCCAGCCCAGCCCAAGGACTGGTGGATGGCCACTCCCAGCCAATCCAGTAGGGGCTTGGACCTGTGGGATGCTGGTACCTCTTGTGTCCCCTGTGCCCCCTCTTACCCTTCTTCTTACCTCTCTTACCCCTTGCCTCACTGCCCTATTACAACCTTCAGAGTCCCTTCGTGGCCCTCTATGCCCTCTGAACCCCTCAGAACTTCCTTATGCCCTTCCATTACCACCTTATCCCCTCAGGTATGCTCCCAGCTGGGCTGCCCTCTTTGGCCCCTGCCACTTGGTTATCTGGGCTGCAAAGGTGCCAAGCCAGGAAGCAGGCTGTGGAGGTGGGGGCTCAGATCTCTAGCCCCTGAAGCCAGGTGGAGAATTTGTCGTGGCCTCGTGAGGGCGAGGATATGGTGCAAAGCACAAGTGAGCAGGACTGAGCTGGACTGGGCGGAGACAGCTGCCCAAAAGGGATTGGGGTTTAAGGGATGGCCGGGGACTCTCCTGCCAACTCTCTAGGGTGGTCGGGTGGCTGGAGGGGGAGGGGAGAGCTGACTTCGGCACCACATAGGCTCAATTTCACACCCACTTCTGCTGTTTGTTGTGTGTGGGTATCCTCGGACAGTAATTTGCTCTCTGAGCCTCTGTTTCCTTATCTGTAAAATGGGGACAATGATAGCTTGGCCCCAGGGTTTTGGTGGTAATGAAGTGAGATAATATGTGGTTTCCTGGGGGCCCTGAAGCTAACCAGATGAATTAAAGGTGGGAAAACAGCTTCAGACAGTCCTCTTATTCCCACATACATGGATGCACTAAAACGATGTCAAGAAAAGAAAGGAGGCCATGTGTTTGGCTGCACAAAGAGAGAAGTGGTAGTATCTCCTGCCTGCCTGGGTCTCCTAATCTTTTGTCCCTGGTGCTGGGGCAGAGCTCACTCTGCACTTGGTGTTCTCCCTGTGATGCAGGTGGGCATTGCATGGGCATGCCCATCCTCTGCTCACCACCTCCCCCAGCTGTCTCTCTTTTGTACATCAAGGTCTTTTCAAGCCCTGCTCCTCAAAGTGTGGCCAAGGACCAAGAGCACCAGCTCGTTAGAGGCTGGGCGCTTGTTAGAAATGCAGAAGCCCACCCCAGACCTACTGAATCAGAATCTGCATTTTAACAAGATCTCCGGAGGATTCAACCCCCGGAGATTCACGTGCACATTAAAGGCTGAGCAGTGCGAGGTGGGAGATTTAGAGCACCTCCATCTAAAATGCATGAGATTCACAACTTTCAAGTTTGATGGTATTTGATGGTGTCTGATGCTGTCACTGGAAATTTTATCTCAAGCTACAAGAGCACATCCACATAATATTGGGATATTGGCATTTCATTCATCCTGGGAGGGTGTATTCCTGATCTCTATAATATGACCCTATATTAATTTTCTTTTCTTTAACTAAATCATTTAGCCGAAATACTACAGAATACAGTTTTAAAGGTAAATCACATTTAAGCTCTCAATAGAAGACTGTTTTCTATGCTTCTCCATTCCCAGATCAACCACTTTTAATTCTGTTATTTCTCCTTGTATTTACCTCTATACTTCTATTGCTATTTCTTAATTTTTCTATGTCTAAATGTTATCTGTAGGTTTCCTGCTATGGAATTAAGGATTTTGCTTTCTTACCACCCTCCTGAACATATATCTTCAAGTACACAAACAAACTCCTTCCATCCTCCCAAAGAGCTAAGTCACTGGAGTCAATATTCAGTGCTTATATATGACCGTGTAAATATTATTGTCCAACTTTTTGTGTTTCCTGGAGTTAGCACTACTTTGTTTTATCATTTGCTTGGTTTTCTAGGCATCAATTACTAATTTAATCCCAAAGCGACCAACAGAACTGAACATTTTGAACATATCTAAAAACCACAGATAATTTCATTTTCTTCTGGAGACATCCCTCCTGGAGCATCTTGCTTTTGATTCCAGCCTGGGTTGTTTGCTTTCTTTACTTGGAAGCACGGCTGACATCCCGAGCCTTTCTCATCATTGCTTTCCTGTGTTTAGCCTCATCTCTTGACTCCCATATTGTCCTCTTAGTTTAATGCCTTGTTTTGCTGAAGCACATCCTCCAGTAGCTTTCTAGGAAAGAGTGTATACGAGGTCAAATTTTTGAGAACTTGCATGGCTTAAAATGTCTTTATTCTACTCTTGTACTTGATAATCATTTGGACAGATCTACGTTTTTAGGTTGGAAATCATTTTCCCTCAGAATTCTGCGGGCATCGCTTTATTACTCTGGCAAGAGCCAGAGCAGAAACAATCGATGAATGGTCCCAAGGGCCACAGGGCCATTGGCTCTATGCTAATGATGTCAAGTCCACCAGGCTTGAGTCTTTGGACAGGGCCCGCTGGAGGCGGATATGCCGCCTGATTTTTGCTTTCTCCTCTCCTGGGGACTGTGTGGCCACCGGACCCTTCCCCCAGCCCCATCATTTTTTCCCTCAAAGTATGATATGTGGAAAGGATTCTGTTCTTAATTATGATCCACTTCTACTCTTGCCTCTTACGTCACTAATCTGAGATGTGCTGAAACCTCTGTAGCCACCACCCATTTACAGATTATCATGGGGATAGGTTTCCTTTTCAGACGACCAATCCCTTCCTTATATGTTCATTTGCCTTACTTTCATTCTCAGAGGGTAACTTTAACCTCCAGTTTGGGGGTTACTATGTTGAAGCCCTCTTACATTACCTATATCATCTCTGGAATCCCAGTATCTGAAACACTTCCCACAGACCACAGGGCTTCGAAACAGCCCCCTCCTGCCCCACCCTGTAGCAGTCCCGTGGGAGCCCAGCCCCAGAAAGTCTCAGGGTGCTTCCTGGCAGAGCCTGCCTCTGCATTTCAGGGCTGTAGTCCTGAAAATTCCCCCACAAGGGCCCACAGGCATCCCACAGCTCTCAGGGGAGAGAGAGCTGCTGACAGGAAGATTGAATGATTGCCCCTGGATACAGAGCTCTGGGAACCCTCAGGAGAAAGAAAGCAGCCCTTCCTCTCTTGCTCAGCTGCCCATGTGATGATGGAGTTAGAATGCCTTCCTGGTAACTCAGATCCTCACGGGGGCCCTGGGGCAGAGAATTCACGAAGACAAGAGGATGAGTCTTAGTTCCCAGAAATCACTGACTTCCTTCTGACTTAGCCCCACCTAAGCCACCAGCTGCTTAGGTGGCCAAAACCAGCAACAGCCCCGTCTGTACCCCAGGGCCCCACCTGGCAATAGGTCACAATGCCCCAGCTGCCCAGTCCCAGAACGGCTGACTGGAGTGGGAGGTGAGGAGGGTGTGGCAGGTGGGTGTGTGGGGAGGGGGGATTCCCACGGAGCTCACTCTTGAGTGTCTGCCAGGGCCTCGCCCCCTCCCATCTCCCCCCCCCAACACTAGTCCTTCCTGTCACTTCCACCTCCCTCCATGACCCAGCTCTGCTTACCCAGGCCCAAAGCCCTTGCTTATCCTATCCCAGTCCCTCCCAGAGGCCTGGGGGCTGGGGAGGGGTCTCATAGTCCAGTGGGTCCATGCATGTCCCCCTGGGGCCCTAGCGTGGCCCAGCTCCGGGACAGTGTCCTAGGGCTGGGAGCACGGGGGCTGACAGCTGGCTGGCCCAGCCTTGCTGCTGCTGGTCAGCTTCCTGGCCCCTGACCTGCTCCACTGGTTAAGTGTGCAGCAGCCCGGCAGGTGGGCCAGTGGCCAACCTCCCGAGGCCCCACCACCACCCTCTCTGTCCACAGGCCCGCAGGCCCCCCGCAGACACTCCTCCCGGGAGGCCGGAGTCAGTGGGCCGCACTCCTGCCTGCGGCGGCAGTCACAGGACAACTCAGCCCCCAGGAGGCCCTGCTACTGGCACTCCTGGGCCTGGGGCTGCTCCTGGGAGCCCGAGGCGTGCCCCTGGCCTTGCTTGGCCTGGCCTTCCGCCCCCATCCAGAAATACACTGGCTCTGCTGCTTCCCCAGATCGCCTTTTCCTCTGTCCTGGGTTGAGCAGGCAGGGGGTTACCCCTTTATCTCCAGCCTGAACTGCAGGGGCCCTTTGGCCCCCCGGCATGGGCGGCGGATACCTGGGTCTGCGTCTGAGACAGCAAGAGAAGGCGGGGCCAAGGGACAGGGAGCCAGGGCAGGATGTGGCAGCAACCTCTGAGCTTGTGGATTCGGGGTGGCCATTCTGGCCTCCTCTGTGGTTCTAGAGAATGGGTGGCCAGAAAGACTTACAGGAGAGCAGAGTGGGCCCGGATATCAGTTAGCAGGGTAGGAACAGGGATCCGGAGAGGGCTTCTCACAAGAAAGCACGAGAATCTGCGTCTGGGGGCTCACCAGACACCCCTGCCAGCCTGGAGGGTCCGTGGAGGGGGATTCAGGTGAGCCTCACATCCTGCAGTGGCTCCTCTCTTGGCGGGACCCCACCCCCACCCGGGTCACAATAGGGATCCTTGGGGGCGGGCAGGGGGGTGAGGGAAGGGGGGGGAGTTAAGGGGGGCTCCACTCTGGCTGCTAGGCCATCCTGGGCGCTGCAGGAAGCAACATGACTTAGGTGGCTCTGCCCGGAGGTAAGACCCAGGCCCCAGCTCAAAGCCCTGGCCCGCCCACGCTGGTCCCCTCCTGACCCCTGCACCCACCCACCCCCACCCCACCCCCCGCCTGCCCAGAGGCCCCAGGCATCTCCAGGGCTGCTCCTGCAGCTGGCCTGGCCCTCTCCCCAGGTGCACCAGCCATGACGCCGCAGCCGCAGGTGGAGACAGATGCCATCGGGGCCGGCGAGGGGCCGCAGCGGGCTGCGCCCTGGTCAGCCTGGGCCACGCGGCAGGCCTGGGTGCGCTGGTGTCTGTGCCACGTGCCTCGGAGCTGGGCCCAGTGGTGGGCCACGTCGGGCTGGCGGCAGCCACTCCAGCGTGCGCTGTGGGGGCTGGAGGGGATCCTCTACCTGCTGCTGGCGCTGACGCTGTGCCACGCGCTCTTCACCACCGGCTCCTACCTGCTGAGCTCCCTGTGGCCCGTCGTGGCCGCCGCGTGGCGCCATCTGCTGCCAGCCATCCTGCTGCTGGTGCTCAGCGCCCTCCCCACCCTGCTCTTCACCGCCTCCTTCCTGCTGCTTTTCTCCACGCTGCTGAGCCTCGTGGGCCTCCTCACCTCCATGTCTCACCCAGACTACACTCAGGACTTGGACCAATAGAAGGGCAACCCCATCCCGCTGCCTGTGTCTGTTGAGCCCTGGCCTAGGGCCTGAGGCCCTGGGGAAGGGGAGGGCAGTGGCTTCAGCAGGCCCCAGACCCCACCCCCCAGCCCCCACCCCTGCCCCCGCCCCGTCCCTAGCACTGCTCGGGCCAGGCGTGATGTGGCCTAGCGCTGGCCCCGTAGACCGGCCCAACCTCTGGCCACCTCCCTCAAGCCGATGCTACAGGTACTCGGTGTGGGGCATCGGGGGCTTTGAGAAGAAGGGGCAGGGCAGAAGGGTGAGCCAGGGGCAGAGCTTGGCCAAGCCGCCGAGAGTTCCCACAAGGGTTTGGTGACACCACCAGGGCTCCCTTGGCAACTGGCAGCTGCTTTTCCTCACAGATGCCCAGCTGTCTCAGCTGTAGACTCATTGAGAACTTCTAGCTTGGTAGCCCTCTTTCCCCGAGCTCTAGAAAGGGCCCACTGACAGAAACCTAGCTGAGAGAGGGCTGGCCAGAAGCCCCGTGAGACCTCAACTAACTCACCTCCCGCTCCTTTCTGCCCAGGCATCCCCCACTCCCTAGACTCCCTACCTTCTGCCTCAGTGAGCATCCCCAAGTCTGGGAAGTGGGCCAGCTAGGGTAGTGAGGATCCCAGAGGAGACCTACTTTAAGATACCTAAGGTCTGTGATGGAAAAATGAACAAGAAGTCCCATTTCCCCACTTACACAATGTGTGGCCATGGCCAGTTAATTCTTTTGAACTTCGGTGTTAAGTGGGTCCCAGCCCTGTCATGGGGTTGTTGTGAGTCAAAGAAAATACCGCCTATGTGTGAGGTACTTCGTAAAGACCAGAAAACTGTAAGATATTATATTGAAGTCTGAGAATAATCTGTAGGCTCAACGGGTCTTTTGACCCTGAAGGTGGTTCAAAGAGCAGGAAGCTTCCCTGGGCCTTCAGAGAAACGCTCTGTCATGCATACAATTTTGGCCCTCCGAAATTGTGGATGGGTGTGGAGATGTAAAAGGTCGTGTGACATGAAATCTCGAAACATGCACATGCTGAGCTCTCCTGATTGTGAAATGCTTGCAGCTGGGGCCTGGCGCCCGGAGATGCCTGGACAGCTGTGTGAGTGAAGAAAGCAGAGCCCATGGGTTTCTGAAGCTGTCCCGACCGCTGCTCACAGCTCCAGGAAGGTCTGGAAGAGGGCATCCCTTCATGCCCAGCACCCTGGCCCTTCACCCACAGCTCAGACCCACCCACCGGACCCCCACCCAGTTCCTGACCCTCCCTGTCTTCCACCCAGTCGTGACCCCACTGGATACCTAACCCTAAAATTTCTGCTCCTGAAGCCCCAGAACCAAAGTTCCTCTTTCCTGCCACCTAAACATTCAGGCCATGGGAACCAGACCCTAGGACCTAAGTTTATTTTTGCGAAAACCCATTTGCTGTGGAGTTTCATAACCACGCAGGCCACTGGTCAGAGGCCTTCAACATCCAAAGCCCCAAACCCCAGGCACAGTCCTTCCTTCCAGTTTCCTTGTGGTTCTCCCTCAAATGTGGCCTGGTAGGAAGGGCAAGGCAGGACATGGAGATGGTGAAGCCTCATGGTTAGCCTGGGCTCTGGGGTCTTGGCTGAGGATGGGTTTGAATCCCAAGCACTGTTACTTTCTAGCTCCACGGCCTTGGTGGAAATTGTTAAAGTTTACCTTCTTGAACTTCATTTTCCTCAAGGGTAAAACCAAGGAAAGAACACCTGTTTTAGGGCCCCTGTGGGGCTCGTGGCATGTGGGCAAAATTCCTGGACTGACTCCTCATGCCACAAGCTGTAGCTATGCTATCCCCTTTTAGAGATAAGGAGACAGGCTCAGGATCGCCCTTTGCCAGGGGCAAAGCCAGGGTGTTTGAATCCTGGTTCACCCTAGTGGGCTACTCAAGCAAATGCGATGGAGGAAATATAACCGCATGGAAGACCCTGGGGCTTCTCAATGCCTGTTCTTAAGAGCTCCTGTTAGGGATGAAGCCAGGATGCCAGTCTTGGGTCTCTCACTGACTTGGCTGGCCATTGCTGGCCAGGGACGTCACTTCAGAGCCTTGGGGCCATTATGATTAAGGGAGAGAGGAGGTTTTGGCCCAGACCAGGCACACTGCGGAGATGGGGGCAGGAAGGATTTGGACAGAAGCAAGGAGAAGGCCTTCTTCCCTTCCCCACATAAATATATACCTTCTACCCTCCTGTGTCTGCTGGTAGAGGATAAGGTGGTACAGCCAGACTGCAGAGCTGATGGGCAATATTTATCAAATTTGATCAACCAATACCCTGTGACCCAGCAATCCAAAATGAAGTCTCATAGAGGCCCGTAAGGGCCTGGCTCCTCAGAGTGGTCCCACCAGGACCAGAAGTATAGGTATCCCCTGGGAGCTGGCGAGAAATGCAGAGTCTGAGCTCCCCCCTCCCAGGCCTGTGGAATCAGAGCCTGCATTTTAACAAGATCCCAGGTGATACACATGCACACAAATGTTTGAGAAGCACTGCATAAGGGGATGTATTTGAGAGGGATGATTGTACTATTGGTGGTGGCAGGGGATGGGAAAGGTCAAATAAGGTGGATGAGCACAGCTTATTTTACACAGTTAGGTTTAAGCACAGTTAGGAGAGGAAGCTATACGCATTGATCTCGAAATCCTAGTACTGAGTGAAAAGAATGAGAATACAATTCCTTTTACACAAATTTAAAATGTATGCCAGCAAAACTTTTTTTTTTCCCCCTAGAACACGTGAAAACAAAAGATAAACAGAAAGGAATGGCCAACTCTAGGGGCAGGCAAGGGGGAGTGGAGTATACAGATAAAAGGGAAGTGAGGGACCTTGGCATCATGAACGTCATTCCTGAAATTCCTTTAAATGTAGATAAAGTCACTCGTTTAGAGTTAAAAAGCTTAAAAATGCAAGCCTGGGGCAAATGAACAGGCTGGAATGAAGGAGTTCTAGGCCTTTCCGATTTGGGCCAAGAAAGGAGAGCCGCCCCGTTGGCCTGAGTGACCTGGACGGTTAGGTCGGTGTCTTTGCCTGGCCTCCCGCACCGCAGCCCGCAGCCTGCTCTGATGGGGTGGCGGTGGGGGTGGCGTGGGCACCCCGTTACCTGCGTGGCCTGACCAGGATAATCAGATCGGGCGCGGCAGGAGGGACGGGAGCCGAGGAGGCATCAGCCGCCAGATCCGTCGCATCTAAGAGAGCAGAGAGGGAGCCACAGGGCATCCACATATGCTGGGGGGCACCTAGGAGCAGGAGCGTCGGGTACGACTCTCCTCCGCCCCAGGGGCAGAAAGCACCGAGTAGGAGCGATCGGGACGGAGGGTCCGAGAGGGCGGCGTCAAGGGAACTCTGGGGGCGGGGAGCACCTCTTGAGACAGTTGTCAGTGGCCACCCTGGGGAAGGTTGAGGGGTCCCTGGAAGGAGGTGTGCGGCGCGGGAGGATCCCCTAAGAGCCAGCTGCGGGTAGCCGAGAGGGGGCGCTCTTCCGCAGACTCGCGTGTGCGGGGGAAAGTGGGTCCCGGCTCGGGGGTGTGGGGAGCGGCTGTCCTCACCGAGAGGCCACAGGGGGATAGGGTGGAGACCCGCTCCTGCAGGGAGGGGGAGGTGGTCCGCGCCGCGCCGGGAGGTGACTCCGGGAGCAGAGCCAGGTGTGGGGCACTGCGCAATTCGCTCAGGTTGGGGAGAGGGGCCGGGGCGAGGGCTGGAGGGCGTCGAACCGGGCGCGTTGACCGTGCGGGCGGAACGAGGAGGTCAAGGGCCTGAGGCTGAGAAGGAAATGCTGAGCCAAGCCGGGGATCGGAGGGCTGTGGGCACCCACAAAAGGAAGGTGCTAACCATCCCCGGAAAGTCAGCATCCCGCGGAATCGCAACTGGCGGAGCCGGCGACCGACGATGCAAGGCGCGACCCCTAGCGGAGATCTCCCTCTCTGGCAATGAAGAGTCAGGTTTGGTTGGGGTGTGGGGAGGAACGGAAGGGAGAGGCCTCTCACAGGCCGGGACACTAGCACTGGGAGCGAGGGTGAATCGGTAGGGGCTTCTTGGACTCCTCACCCCCTTCCCCAAATCTCCAGCCTGGGTCCCCCAGCCAGAAACCCAGAGGCATCAAGGGCAGAGCTCATGAGAATCCTAGAGAAGGAAGGGTCCAATCTAGCCATCATCACTGTGTCGGACTCCTGACCCACCCCTAGTCTATGATCCCATTCCTCCTGGGGGAAAGAGCTGTCTTTTGTGAGGTTTTGTCAGGCTTTGGATGCAACAAATTTTAAACAAGTTTTTTTTTTTTCTGCTGAGCAAACATCTATATTCTGAGTCTTGCTTCCTTTATACTGCCTCCTTACCTTTCAAATATTTTCCATCCTAAAAATAAAAGAACTTGATTTAAGATCTTGTTGCTTCTACCGTATTTTCTGGCCTATGTCTTTAAATGTCTAACAAAAAACCCACAATATTTAAAATTGAGATGTGATACTGCATACTTGCAAAATATTTGTAACATATATGAGTCATAAAGTCCTCTAAACTGAAGGATACCACATCCATCTAATAGCCAGATGTTATCAGTCCTCTCCTTGTGCATTCATCATCTAACTGTGCAAGCTGGGGTTCCCAGACAATGGCATATGGAATTGCTATTCATAGGCACCTTTGACTTGATCTTGATTTAAAAGGAACTTCTTCTAAGGTGCCACCATTAAGAATTACGTAGGTCACTGTAGGATTTTGGTAGTTTACTTTTATCCAGCTAAGGAAACTCCTTTCCATTCCTGATTTGCTAACAGTTTTGATTGTGAATGGACATTGAATGAAAGAATTGTTGTTGTTGTTGTTTCTGCATCTACTACAAGGACAACTTGGTTATTTTCCTTTATTCTGTTTATATGGTGAATTACATTTTTAGGTGTCTTAATATTGAACTCTTCCTAGAAAAAACCCCATCCTGGTTCCTTTTTAATTGACATATAATTCACACACACACATTTTACGTGCAAGTAAAAT